GCCCTAAACCTAATGACCGTGGTCTTTATAAAAGAAATGACAGGGCTATTTGGACATAGAGACAGAGACATACACAGAGGGAAGATGATCATGTGAAGACAGAGGCAGGTGTTGGATTGATACTGCTACCACCAGCCAAGGAATGCCAAGGTTGCCAGCCACTCCCAGATGCGAGGAAGAGGCAAGGAAGGATTCTTCACCAGAGAGTTCGGGGGAGGGTGGCCCTGACAGTACCTTGATTTCCTCTTCTGGCCTCTGGAACTGTGAAAAATACACTTCTGTTGTTTTTGCCACCAAATTTGTAGTCATTTGTTATGGCACCTAATTTGTGGTAATTTGTTATGGAAACTAACTTAACCTACCAAATAAGTGTAGTAATCTTTCCCCAGTTGTGACAAAGCAAAATGCTTTCAGACATTGGCAGTTGTCCCCTGTGGGGCAAAACTTTCTGCAGTTGAGAGCCACTGGACGAAATAGAACTGTTATTGACTAGCCCAACAATTGAAACATTTAACAAATTTATATTCTTTAGAAAGAACAGAAATCTTAGTTATTAACTTTTGGGTTTTTATTTTTTAATAAGCTTTTATTTGGCATAGGTTTTACTAAAGTATCTTAGTGACCCATGGAGAGGTGATTGGAAACATGAGAATTTCCACGTTGTCTTTTTTGAAATGTGTATTATTGCCAAAATTATATTTTTGAAAAAATATCAATTTATTTCCATTCTTATACCATCTGGTTTTTAAAATAGTTGTACAGGAATGGTAAAATTGTGCATTGTGCTTGTCAGTAGGCCTCTAAAAAAAACTTGACCATAAAGGCTTCTTGTCTAGTAGTTTCCACACTATGCAGAAAATTTCAAGAGTTCGAGTTCTCTATGTGGACTATTATCTGTCCCTGACTTAGAAAGTCTGACTTATAAATGTCCCCATCAGGGGAACTAAATTTTTTTGGCAAGCCTTTTTGTTTTTCTTCTTTTTTGGATGAATCTCTGGAGTATGATTTCCAGGACTCAGAGGTGCCTTATTTCCTTTCTCTTCTTTCTGCTGCATTTATGGACAGGGGATAGGGATACTCTGTTCCTAAAACCCAGAATTCTCCGTATGTTGTATATAATCAGTATTTTACTTAGTAATTAAGTACTTTAAAGCTAAGATTTAACCATATCATTGCTTAAGTGGCCTTTACAATTTGGCATGGGATCACATGGTTATTTATAATATTGCTTCCATGAAGAAATACATTCTTATTTCCAAATCTCTATTTTATAAATAATATAGAATATTCATTCCTAATAGTGCTTTTGTAATTGAGTTGCATATTTATAATGCTGTATATCAGAATGTCAAAATTATGATTTATTAAGTACTGCATGTTGATAGCAATCAGTATAGAGATAAGAAAGATAAATAATATTTATTTTAATAGTAGTTGCTTCTTACACTTTTTTTGGAATGAAGTTCAGACCTTTCCAATATTTTAACATACAATAAAGGAATTTGGGGAGCTTTAGAGAGAATGTTTATTTTTAATCAGAGATGTAGTTGCATTTATTTCCAGATTTAAAAAAGCTAATCTTAAGATCCATGAAGTTTTCTGGTGTTACTTATTTTTCTTCCCAATTTACTTCAATTAAATGAAGCCCTCACAATGAAATATGTGAAAATGTTACCTTAATATCTTTAAGTAGAATTGTAACATGTTTATTTCACTTGAAAGTGTTAATGGAATAAATTATAAGCCCTTCTAGCAGCATATATTTTAAAATATATGAAAAACATTTAAGTAGAGACAATTTTGCTGTTTCACATAATATTATAACAGGTGAAAAATAAGATGTTACTCAATTCTTTGATGCAATAGCCTCATGCCTCATCTGCCCTGCAAAGGGAGAAAAAAAAGTCTTTTAATCTCTGAAGCAGCTATTTGATGTTACTCTTTCATGTTGACATTTTTGCCTCTACCTGTAAAAGAATGCTACATGGATATGTTCCAGTAATGATTAAGGAAGGGTGAGTTTGATAACTTGAGAAATGTATGTTATGATCTTGGCATCATCACTCACATTTATACAACTTTTCTTATCTTCATTTTTTTCCTTATCAGATGAGGTTTACAGTGGAGACATATTTTCAAAGCACTGAGCTGGGCATATGGCATTTGGAAACCCTAAGTAACAAGTCAGTGACAGAACTTGGATTAAGACCCGAAATTCCTTCCTCTCCATTTTATACTTCTTTTTGTGGCTCAGCTAATCCTTTTAGGGAAGTATTCAAACCACATCTGCCTCAGTCTCCAGCCAATTTGTTTTAAACCCCAATGTTAGCTGAATGAATCTCCTGCTAGCTGTCCTCCAACTGAAAGTAATAAGGTTTACATTCTCACTTTTTTGGTTAAAAAATATTTTGTGTAAACAAAGAACTTCTTTTACGGTCCTAATACCGTCTATAGGCTGCCCTGCTTTTCCACTCAAGGTGTTTCTGTATATTGCCTCTTTAAGGGACTTTTCCCAAGGCAAAAACCACACAGCAGTTATACATGTTCTTTTGCACTTGGGCCTTGTTCAGTGGAAACTAGAGCTGGATCAAAATTAATGCCCTGAAGGGAATATGAAGTTAAGGCAGGGCTGGTGTTTGGTTTATGGATATCTGATTGTATTTTTAGTATGTGAGCCAGCAAGTGGAAATGGCCTCAACAGCTAGTATATTCTGGAAATACGCAGACTTCTCTACCTCTGGAATCTTGTTTTCTTCCTTTCCTCTTCCTTCAACTGCCATCAGCTTAGACTCTGCCAAAGCCAAACTTAGACTCCTTTTCTCTCCTTGTTCTAACACAGGTCCTGGTTGAGCCCATCCGTGACAAGCGCTAGTGATCAGTAAGGGAGAATAGCCCCAGCCTTGGAGCTCAACTTCCTGGAATTATCTTCACTCTTCTTCCACCTCCAGGCCCAGGCTTCACACTTTAGCTCATGTTCCAATTTGTATAAAATATACTGGCTAGTTATAGTCAATACTGTGCATTAGTGGGTGCTGCTCTGAAATTTTAATAATTCTCAATCTCAAGTTGTGGGCCTAAACCCCGACTATTATGATCCATATGGCCCACGTTTGGCCAGCTTCATATTCCCTCTCAGCATCAAGTGTGCATCAGATACTGTATATACTCACTTAAGTGGCACAGGAATAAGAATAACAGAATTTTTTTTTTTTTTTTTGGTTTATGTCACTCCTATACTGATACTGTAAACAATAATAATAAATGATGCTGGAAATCTCAAAAAGGTTATAGGCTTCTTTCAGGGATAAAGAGTATAGTAAGACCCCTTAAGATTGTATCCTGCTCTGTAGTGGGGTATGCCTGGAGAGGAAATCAAAGATACCAAAGCTTATGTTTTGCAGACTTCACAGAACAGATGATATAGTAGAATAGCTGTTTCCTTCTCATCCACCGCCTCCTGGCTTCCTGTTTATAAGTGAATAGCATCCGCCTTGATCTTCCTGAAATATTTTGTCATTAATGTAACCCCCAAGTATGCTATCCCCAAGAATGGAAACAAGAAATTTTCATCAGGAAAATAACATTTATGGGAGCCTTTTGTTTAAGCTGTATGTGTGTTGGGCCGGGGTGAAGTGGGGACAGTGGTGGTGGTGAGGGAGTTAGGGACGAGGGAGAAAGAGAAGAGGGGGTGATGAGAGGAGAGGAAGAATGTGAGAATATTGGCTAAATAGGAATGAATGAATGAACGAATGAATGAATATTGGATGTGGGTGGAGGAAAGATTTTGTATACTTGATAACCCAGTGAGAAACTCAGGACATATTTTTCCTATATAATCACTGTCAGAGGGTAGTCTGATTGAAAATGTTATTTAAGAATTTTTTTTATGAGAAAGTACATTACAACTTCCAAAGCTGTTTTAGAGGTGATTAAACCATAGGAGAGTTAGGTTCTACTAGATACATTATTTTATTAGGCAATATTGTAAAAGCCATGTTATAAAGCTAAAGTAACAAAAGTGATCACTAATTTTGATAACATTTTCCATACATATAAGAAAATGAAAGAACTAGAAATCTAATCTTGTTCTAGAAATAACTTTCTGAGCAGATTATTTAAAAAAAATGCAATAAAAACGACTCAGGTTTCATTTAAATTAAATGGGATTTAATTTAAATAATGCAGCCAAGTTTACAGTAACAAGCCTCATCCCCCGCTTCTCTGACTTGTTTGCTAGAGTTGAGTAGTTTCCTGGGAGGTAAGGTCTGGTACTCTAAAGTAAAAGGACAGTAGGCCTTGTAAAAAAAAAATAAAGTAGCTTCGAAGAGAGTGAGAGAGGTGGAAATAGAAACCTTGCTTCTTTAATGCAAGTTTTCAAAAAAGGAGAGAGAAGTGACAGAGGCAGAGGAAACCGGAATTTAGGTGTCAGAGGGCATGCCTCTTGGTAACCATAGCTGGAAAACAAATAGCAGTCCAAACTTGCCCGTAAGCTATTTTCTCTTCTCTGTCCCCTGGTGCCCAGTGCTATCTCTTTTTTTATTTAATACACTATATTAAGGTTTGCCTGTCACTGTTTCTTCTCTCATCTTCTCTCTCTACCTCTTCATCTCTCATCTTTTCTCTCTACCTTTCCATTTTCTGGTTCTCTCATCTAATTCCTCAGTATCTCATTGAATTCCTAGGTATCTTCAGTTTATTTATGTTTTGTAAATAAACTATAATTGTAGTATAAAAATGGAAGATTTTATTTTAAAAAAAAGCCGTCTAATGTAAGTCTGTAGGGATTTTTAGGTTGAAAAAGAACAAAAAAATCAGATTTTTTTTCACATTTAATAGCCTAATATAGCTCTAAATTTCTTTGAAGTATATAAGACTGAGCTTCCTGAAAACACTATTTTTCATTAATAGTTCACAACAGTGTTTTAGCTGTTGCAAAGTAGTTTTTAGATAGTCATTTAGCCTTGGTAAGAGGGTGTGATCATTTGTTCTTTCTCTTATAGATTCACCTTTTACAAGTCCACCTGTCAGAGAAGAAATGTTGGAAAAATATTCTAACTTTTCCTTGCAGAGTCATAACATATCACTGACTGGTAAGCTTATCATGTTTCAAATAATGCAATCCCAAAATAAAGGTTTTAACAATTTTTCTTAAACAAAGCTACTACATTTTGCTTTGTGAAGTGGTAATCACTGTTCACGGCCTGGTGGGAGAAACATAACAGTAGTGTGCTGGGAATCAGTGTGGTGAGGACCTGTGCACAATGGAGGCCAATGTTCCAGACATGCTGCGGCCAAGAATGGCTTCCCAGAAAACGGATACCTGAGAAAAGGGAGAATCAATTTTGATTTGCAGATACTCTTACATTTTCATTAATTCCTGCTGGCACATCCATTACATCACTCTAGGTCAAGAAGATAATTTGTGTATCTATTGGAAAACCTTTAGCCAGAGACATTAAAGATGATATCAAATGAGTCAATGTGCTAAGGAAAAGCAAGAAAGGGACTCCAAAATTAAACACAGCCCTGCTTTCTCTGCCTTTTCTTTCACAGTTTTGGTTCCAGTGTTTCCAAAGTAATCTTAGTTTTTTAAATTCCTAAGAATCATTAATCTGTTTTAGTAACAATATTAAAATTGTATATTTAGAATTTAAAATATCACAGTCCTATCTGTTAAATTAATCATTAATCATTAGATTTTTAAATTAATCATTAGATTTTAATCATTAGATTTTTCCAAATATACCTTCAGTTTTTAACTGTCCTCTAGTCTTGTGAACTGTTTCTTTATTTCTAATATGAATAGAAGGTGTGTGTGTGTGTGTGTGTGTGTGTGCATGAGTGTGCATGCACCTGTATGTTTCTCAATCTGATAACAATGGAATGTTTGCATTAAGCTTTTTGGCAGAGCATTTTTGTGTCTTTTTGCAGCTTTTTTTCCCCAGATGTCCCTATTCCAATGCATGGAGTTCATTCTTGTAAAAAAATAATTAAAACATTCCTACATTCTTTTACTTTTTGCATGTTCTAGTTGTTGGTTGCCTCTGTTAGGATGAAATGTTTCTTTAAGAGACTCATGTGAGAAAGCAATTTGCACATTCTTTAACCAGCCTGGCAATGTTGTCATCAGGGCACCCCTTACTTAACCAGTACAGCTGGGGCCTGGAAACAAAGGGTCAATGCGCAGGGCAGGAGCAAGAAATAGACTTGTAATTGATTCTAGGCTGGTTATTTACTTACTTAACCTGTTTGGAGGGTTTAACTCTTATTCTTTTATTCTAAATAGTGCTACTTAAAGCAGTATTCCCACTGTTAGAAAGAGACTAATGGTTTGCAATTGTCCATTACTTATCTCTGCCTTGGCTTGATCAAACTTTAGTCTGGCTTTTTTCTTCCTTACAGATCCCGGAAACGTGGCTTGCCCTAAGTCTGAGCAAACATTAAAATGAAGAACATCTTGATAATTGGCTGACTGCAGCCTGATCATGCTGTCTGTGTACACTTTCTCATTTGCCCAATTTCCCTAAAAAGTTCCTGCTTGTCTGCTTATCCTTCTCTATATTGAAAAGTAGCCTTTTTCTGTTTACTTTTGGGATGCTTGCAGATCTTAAGTTTGGAGCTTTGTCCCTATTGCAGTAGCCTTTTTAAAAATAATGTCTTCTGGATGGGCACGGTGGCTCACGCCTGTAATCTCAGCACTTTGGGAGGCCGAGGAGGGTGGATCACTTGATGTCAGGAGTTAAAGACCAGCCTGACCAACATGGCAAAACCTGTCTCTACTAAAAATACAAAAATTAGCTGGCATGGTGGTAGATGCCTGTAGTCCCAGCTACTCAGGAGGCTGAGGCAGGAGAATCACTTGAACCCAGGAGATGGAGGTTGCAGTGAGCCAAGGTTGAGCCATTGTGCTCCAGCCTAGGGAACAGAGCAAGACTCTGTCAAATAATAATAATAATAAAATGTCTTCATTTAAGTTTGGATTTGTTTTTGGCAAAAGGAAATATTTGACATTAATTTGGAAACATTAGATCTCAGAGTTGGGCACTGAATGGTTAAATTTCCATGTAGGTTATTACTCTAGTTGCCTTCCCATCAAAAAGTTTGGTCTTAGAAACTCCTTTACTGAACTATAGAATTTAAATTTGAAGATATATTTATAATTTTGAGTTTCAAGGTAAAATAAAAAATATAGAGATGAATCTCTAAACAAAATGTTTTATTTGGTAGAACAGAATTGCAGTTCAGTGCATACACAGAGAAGGGAATGGTCTTTGGTATGACTGAAAAAAACAAAAAGAAGCTTAGGGGTTTTATTAGAGAGAAATGTTATATATTGTTTTGGAAGAAAACTCTTTCTCACTAGCAAAGTTTTTAGAAGCTGACAAGCTCTGAAGTGCTTGTGGTGGGTAAATTAGTCTTAGAGTCATGGCAGTTTGTTTCAGAACCTGTGAAGTATGATCTCCAAGTCATACCAGGTCATTTCAGCAGCTGGTTTGCATTATTAGCCCTGGGCAGGTGCTTTGCGTTCCAAGTGCTTTTTTGTTTTTGTTTTTGCTTTTCCTTTTTTATTGGGTCTCTGAACTCTTAATTTAGTTGGATATGACAAGATAATTCCAATTCCTGTTTATCCATTTTCACCTTATGAATCATAGATTTTCTTCTTATGGCTGATATTAAGATTTTTAACCTACTATGTGTAAATGGAGTGTTTTCATATTTTCGTAACATTGTTTGATATGTATCAACATTGATTTTATCATTATTTATGTTTGTCTTTAAACAATATTTACGACATTTCTATTTGTTACTTACTGTTTTCTCTTTCTCTCGGGCCATTGTAGAAGTTAATCTCTCTATTAGGATAAAGTGTTTCTTGTAGAGAGATTCAAATACAATATGTTAATTGTAAATTTTGGAATTTGGTCAGGCTCTTGACACACGTACTTACCCAAAGATTCTTGACACTGGAAAACGTATGGATTCTTGTGCCTAGGAGAATGAAGACATGACTTTTTATTCATAAAAGCTTTGTTGTTTACTTATTTAATATTTTTGAAATATTGCTGTTTATTTAACAAACTTATGTTGACTGTGTATCATATATGAATTTCTAAATAATTAATTCTTATAACAGCTCTATGAGGTGGGTACTGTTACTATTTGTAATTTGCAGGTGAGGAAAGAGAGGCAAAAGGGATGAAGTGAACTGATGAGGATCGCAGGCCTTGAGTAGGAGCTTACGGTTTTAAATGGAGGCAGCTTGGTGCCTGGTCTGTGTTACTAACCGTTATGTTTTTCAGCCTTTCTTAATGCCCAGTTACTTACTTCTTTTAACAAAATTATTAAATTAATTGTATTTATTTTAAAAATAATGACATCAGTTTTGAAATGATGTAAAAATCTACAGAAATAAGCTATTTTAATTGCTTTATTACTAAATAGGTTAGTTTTAGAAATTCATTTACTACTTGCAATCCCAGCACTTTGGGAGGCCAAGGCGGGTGGATCACCTGAGAGGAGTTTGAGACCAGCCTGACCAACATAGCGAAACCCCATCTCTACCAAAAACACAAAAATCAGACAGGCATGGTGGCAGGCACCTGCATTTCCATCTATCTGGGAGGCTGTGGCAGGAGAATTGCTTGAGCCTGGGAGGTAGAAGTTGCATTGAGCCGAGATTACACCATTGTACTCCAGCCTGGGTGACAGAGCAGGAATCCATCTCCCAAAAAAAAAAAAAAAAAAAAAAAAAGAAAGAAATTGCATTTTGCTTAATCATAAATTTGTGAAAGTAATTGACTTGACTGAAACTAAAAGTATTTTTTCTGCTTTCTGGTGTTTTAAAACCAACCTTTTGATAATGGACTATTTTTATATCACTGTACTTAATTTTCCAGTGTCCATAGTATTTGGAATTCATTGTATTACCACAATATATTTCTGTTTTTGGTTTTTTCCTCTCTGTGTATTAGGGTTTAGTTTCTCAATCAATGTTATAGTTTAACTTAAGAGATCGAAATAAAAAGAAATAGCCAACAGTTTCCTTGACCAGCCTGTTCACGTTGGAATCACCTCTCCTGTGTTGACCCATGGCACATTTTATTTACATGTTGAGATGTGAGCAGCTGTCCTGCAAGGTTCTTGTGAGCCAAGGAGGTAATATATGCAGACATTAGAGGTAAGGCACAAGGTAAGATTTGGAAGATTAGTCAGCATAAGGAAAGACAACCACATTGCCTGAAGCTAGGCCTGCAAGAGATCTAGGTTAGCACCACTTAGATTTTAGGGGCAGGTGACTGAGAAGATTGAGAAGAAAAGAAGAAAGTACTTTATTGCAGAGGAGATTATAGCATGACTCCAATGAGCTGAAAATGTTATGATATTTTTCAGAGGCACTCATCAAATCTCATATGTAGGCTGTTGATGTACAGAGAAAAAATATTGAGACCTAACATTCATAGAGAGTCAGAGAAAGAAAAGATGGAAGAGGGATCTACTCATAGCAACACAAGTGGCAATGGCTGTGATAGGCTTTTGTTCTATATCAGGTTTCTTTTATTATTATTATTATTATTAGCAGGGGTATTGATGGTTGGGGCTGGATGATGCTTGGTTGTAGAAGGTTGTTTGCAGCATTGTAGGTTATGTAACAGCATTCCTAGCCTTTACTAACTAGATCTGAGTAGCACCTGCTAAGTTGGGACAGCTGGATATGTCTCTAGATATTGCCAATCATTCCCTGGGGGAACAAAATTGTCCCCACTTGAAAATTACCCCTGCTGTTCTATATATTAAAAACGAGAGCCCTGCACATGTTTCCCATCCCCTTATCATGAGAAGACACATGACTTAATAATCTTGTGATTAATATTTAATAAAGAATCTCGCCATGAAGTTACATGATGGTGCTGAATCACAGGCACAGGACCTCACACCCTGTAAGTGGGACCTGTCTCTTCCCTCCCTTCTACTGGTATTCAATAAGAATGGAGCCAAAAGCCACATCTTCAATAAAGCACATAACAGAGAAGCATGTATGTTCCTACTTCTCTGATATGTATTTACTGTTTTCTGTTAATTTTTAATTCTG